CAATAAATTAGTTAAGTGTGCTGATGATACTAACTGAATGTGCACGAGGTTGCTCCACTGGACAGACACCATACTGGAAAAGTAATGTTGACTATATCTCCAAAGTTATGAAGCATACCTTGATGGAATGTCACAAGCTTACTAGTCAACATTACAAGACTCTTGTGCACAACAAATCAGATGTGTTATCAAGGCTTTTGTACTAAAGATATGTCTGGGAAATGCTAATATCAGTCTGACTCAGACTCTTATAGGTCAAAGTGCAAAAACAGCAGATGCAATCTCACAGGTGGAGGTGAAAGCAGATGTCTTGACCTTCTACAGAATGCCATTGATGCTCTACAAATACAATGCTCCTTGGTCCCAGCAAATAAGCTGTCAATATGCTCTATAATATCATGTACTTTACCACCTAACAAGCAAAGTCTAGTCCTAATCTTTCTGTTCTTCCAACTATGAATCCCTTTCTCTGTATACTTAATGTGACAGTCTCCCACTACATAAATCTCTTGTATAATTCATGCGTCCAAGAGTTCAAATCTATTAGACCAAATTTATATAGAGCTTTAACTTTTTTAACTACTGTGGCTCCTTGAAAACCCAACACTCATAATTTCATCCACTCATATAACAACGTTTACTTTTAGCCTAACCAATTCCTTTATTACTTCCCACCCTATTATTTTCACCATCTAATGGACAACATTCCCCAAAGCTATCTGGTAGTAAAACTTGGGTACTATATCTTTCTGAACATCCTAAAATAAAAGCTACAATTCAACCCATAATTTTAAAACATCATTTACGGTTAAAACAATTGATTTATATTTACAAAAATTCACTTGCTTTTACGGAAACATTTTTATTTATATGTAAATATTGTATATAATTCAAGGAAACAAAAAGCTGTTATAAAGTTACCATATTCACAGTCTGGCACAATTTTATTACTATTATTTATTGTGATAAAACATGTAAGTCTTTAGAACAATACTAAAGATTATACAATTAGCCATACTTGATAATTACAGTATATATATAAAAGACCACTGACATATGAAACTAAGACAATATCAGAGTTTGAGGATTTCAGTTTCACTATTCCATATTCTGAAATTTGGGTATGCATTAAAAAATTTCATTTAAGTTAACATTAACAAAAAATGTATTACACTGAACTAAGTTAGGTCAAAACAAATTGAGTTTGAATTTTGAGTACAAATGTCACTGTTCCCATTCAGTTTCTAATTTAATAAGTAACATTAATAGTAAATTTATAGTTAGACTAATTAATACAGTAGTGTAACTAGGTATATTTAGTACCAGTACCACTGTCAATATATCACAACAAAAAATAACTGTGTAACTTGTATTTGTAAGTATAACTATAATATACAATTCTGTACTTTAGTTAGTAGAAATTATAATTTATATCAAAAATGTTTTATTTGGACAAAATGAGGTCTATGTTATGTATTTTAAGTTGTTTATGCAAATAGACGTAAACATAAACATTAAATTTAAACCTTGACTCTGACTTACCTTCTTATATGAGAATATCAGGCTTAACTCGTGGGTTTACAATTTGATTTACTGATCAATTTACCACAGACTGTAACAATACCACCTTGCAAGAGGCGTATTTTGTTTCGTTGACTTAACTGTCAGACGCTGTGACACAGTATCACTGTCACTGTGTCAGTATAACGTACTAATACGGAATAGGAATACATAACACACTAAACTTAACTAAAGCAATTTCATGAGCTACTCTTTATGATATCTGAACAAAAATTAATTTCCTAAAGGATTACAACATTTCAATCATCCTTTAAAAAATAAGAGACGATGGCACAAAATGCGAGTCTGGTAGTTAATGTACTACAACGAAGATGTAGAACGCCAGATAGCCATATTTTAGTTCAAAATAATGCTATTAGAAGCTTCTTAAACTTCATCCCAAACATTCTCCCAAAACCTCAGTACTAGTACTGCAATGTGAGGAATAAAATATCAACATCGCATGACGTAGTATGTACAGCGCCCTCATGATTCAAGCGGTTACACCTATGGAAAATGACAGAAAACAAAACAAAAATAAAGTGTTAATGTCAGAGCAACCAATCAACTATGGGTTTACGGCTATGATTGTCCTTTATTATTTATTCCTTGCTGCGTACATCAGTTTCCATGCTTCCAGCTTATCATCCTCAATCTGTCTCTGCGTGTATCTTGTTGTTCTTCTGCTTTAAGTTTTAACCACTAGAATCTCTGTTAATCTTCCCTCAGATATAATGTATCTTCCAATTCCTACATATGTTCAGCAGTTGTCTTCCAATTTTCCACAGTTTTCTTTTCTTTTACATGAAAAGATGAAACGACAATAATGGATATGTAGAAACTAAAAATGCTCTTGTTTGTGTATATCAACTAAACTAATATATATATATATATTACAATGAAAGCTATTAAGTAAATGTACCTGCATCTATCAGTTACGAATCTTCGTAATATATATATGATAAGTGATGAAAAATTATTGTTTATTGACATTAGTGTAG